TCCTTACAGGGCAAAAAAAATCTCATGTCGTTCATTAACAGAGTTTTAAAACCCTTGATATTGTAGTTCCGTTCCGTTTCGTTTCGCAAAGTACTAATATTGTAGTGGATAATGGTATTTTGCGAAACGGAACGGAACCTGTTGTGTGTGTTTCTTTTCTTATTAGCGCAGAACTGAATATTTAAGATATCGATCAAGGTTCAGGTAGTAAACATATTTGTTAGCATACAGCAAATTGCAAATCACGCGTTTTAAGATCTATGTTAAACTTATTTTGCATATCAATTTAGTTGAAGATACTAGTAGATGGTATTTACGTTATCCTATCAACATCAAGGCCTGCGATTGTATTTGTATACATAACTGATATAAAGACAAAACTTTTGAAGAAGTTTGAAAGGTAAAAAATATGCTTTATTATGCTGGATATATGATGGATGAATTTCTTCTGCAAAAATCCTTTTATTATGCTGGATATATGATGGATGAATTACATTCTTCCTATTTTATTTTTTCCCCTAAATTTAATTTTTAATAAATAAAAAGATGATATGAAATGAATAACAACAAAATGCTTGTATGTGTATCATCTTATTCCAACTTAACTGTGTTTCGTTCCGTTTCGCTAAATACTAATACCCACACGGATATTGGTATTTAGCGGAACGAAACGGAACCAGAGATGACCATACTGGCAAAGCGCGACAACTCTGTTTACGTTTAGACGGCACATAAAGGATATTATTTTGATAATAAGCTATTGACAGTAAGCTTTGAAGGAAAAGCATTAATAATTTTTTACATTAATGATAGGTGTACGTCTCTCATTCAAAACAGTTCACATAGTCACTACACTTGACACAGCAGATCAAAAACTCAACGTCAAAATAATTCATCACTTATAGACATTTTATTTCATGGTCCTCTACTTCAGACACTTGACACTTCTTTTTGGTTGGTTTCCCAAGATATAAAATGGCAGAATAATTTGTAATAAAGTAACTTATTATATTAGCTTTTATAATATATTTTTTATCATATATAATATATTCATATCCCCCCTAGGGTGCCCCACAACTGGTTCCGTTCCGTTCCGTTTCGTTCCGCAAAGTACCATTAGCCTTTCTAAAAATGTCTCTCTTACTAATTCATAAAACTCTGGATTGTCAGAATTTGGTCCATATATATTAATTAAAGTAACTTTATTATCCTCGATTGTCATATCGAGAGCTAATAAATTACCATAATCGTCCTGTTTCTCCCTGTGAATATGAAATTCAAAATTGTTGTTAAAGAGAATGCATACCCCTCTAGAGTTTGACTTGTACGAATTAAAAATACATTTATATCCCCATTGTTTTTCAATATAAGGTTCTATTTTTTTAGTAAAGTGAGTATCTTGCAAACAGAGAATTGAAAAACCTTTTTTCTTATAATAATTTAACACATCCTTGACAATTCACCGTTGCTAGTTTAATTGAGCTACTTATTTAGTTTGTACTGTTTTAGAAAAAAGCAATAAAGAGACTCGAATATGAAAACACCATCTTTCCGAATAATGAAAACACATAATGATATTAGAAAAACAAGGGGACATACACACACACTCACCGACACACTTACACAAAAGTAAACATGATCTGAATTTACCGAATATCGAGCCCGATCTCACAGTCAAAATGTGTTATTTTCGCAAAGTCCACTCCGCTGCATATTTGAGTAATTATTTAGTATCCTTTCAATTTTTCAGACACGTTGTCTAAAATGTCAAATTTGTAGCGATTTCCTTCTTCGTCGTGGGCAAACACTTTTCCATTAAAATACCATGCACCATAAATTCGCGGATCTTTGTTCAAGTCGCGCACCAGTTTAGCGTTCATTTGTGTTAGGTGATCGTGCATGGTGAAGATCTTTAAAAGATTTTTGTCAGCTCTGTTTTTGATTACCATGATCTTGATGTCGGTGTTTCGAAATTTTGCGATCACAGGTCGTGGTCCTCTTCCATCTCCTCCGGGAATCCGATGGATCGCCAGGACATCTGCGGGGTCAAGGTCAACGTTCACCGCTTCCTTGAGTGTCGCACATAGCCTTTGTTTAAGATTTTCATTTTTCTCCTCTGCCCAATTCATAAATTTTATGTTAGAGTTTTGGGAATACTGCTGGTTTTGATTAGCGAGGGTGATTGCAGACCCTGCAATAGATTCACATGTCTGAAGTTGTTTCTTCAAGTCCCTCAATTTCCTTGCCTGTACACTTAGTTTTTCTCTAAGAGTGTCAAAATCAAGATTAAATCCATCAGAAATCTCTTTCGTTTGTGTTTGGAATTCTTTATGTGTTCTCTCTAATATTTTCTCCTCGAATTCTTCCTTAACTTTGTTTTTAATACCCTTTTCGAAATCTTCTTTCATTTCTGAAATTATTTCCTTTTTTATTTAACCTTTCAGTTCATTTTTCATTTCGAGCAAAATTTCTGAAACTATAAGTTTTACATCCGATTTCTTAACCATAGATTCTCTAATCTCAGTGAGACTGTCCTGAATTTGTTTAAGATCGTAAGTAATATCGTGATGTTCTGATTGACTATCGTCTTGATTGAGGGAGTGATCGCCGCTACTTGTTCTTGGTTTTTTCACTGCAGCTTTCTCAGAAACAACGGATTTTCTTATAGACATAGGTGCAGATTTTAAATCTAGCTGCACAAATTTTTTTGGTTTTATTTGTTCTTTGTCTGGTGTTTTTTTTTTTTTGTTAGACTCCGCTTTATACGAAGGCATCGTGAGTGAATGCGTGAGTGAATACGTGTTCACAATGAAGATAATGAAGAATGTCGTAGATTTAAACAGCACACTTCTTACGCTACACTAAGCCCAAAGTTAATGCAAAACTCACAAATATTGAATAACAAACTCCTTTCCACAGAATTAAACAATCTTAAAACCATATAGAAACAAGGTTTAGGAAATAAACAGCGGAGCCCAAAATTTTTCGTCAGTCACAGACCATCACGTGACTGGTATCATGTCTGCCAATATTGTGCAGGAAAGCATCCTCGCCAACAATGTCAAAAATCCAGACGTTTCGGTCCTACCCAACAAAATAACAAAGATGCCTCAAAATCAACAGCAACCTACCCAGCCAAACAATAACGGAAGAGCGGTTTCCACAATAAAAGTCTCAGAATTTTCCAAGTATTTGCAAGGATATAAAAACAGTTTACAAACATTTTAATTGATGGCTTCACTTTTGGATTTAGAATACCATTTACAGGCAACCGTACCTTTAGACTCTCAAGAAATCTTTCATCTATTGGGGGTAAAGAACATATACTACATCAAAGAATTGACCAAGAAGTTCAAGCTGGACGAGTAGGTGGCCCATTTTCAACACCACCTTTTCCAAACATCCAGGTATCTCCATTAGGCCTTGTTCCTAAAAAATCTCCTGGGGAATTTCGTATGATTCACCATCTGTCCTACCCTGATGGAGACTCCATTAATTCCCATATCCCTCAACAATTCTGCACAGTTCAATATCAGTCGATTGATACAGCAATTGCCATAATAAAACAACTGGGAAGAGGGTGCCTGCTGGCAAAAACAGACATAGAAAATGCTTATAAACAGGTTCCTATTCACCCTAAAGATTTTGAACTATTAGGGTTTAAAGTAGATGACAAGTTTTATTTTGACAAAACCCTTCCATTTGGTCTCATTTATTCCTGCAACCTCTTTGAAAAATTCAATTCCGCTCTGCAATGGATTTTAGAAAACAAATTGCAGTCTGTCATTGTGTTCACATTCTCGATGATTTTCTTTTCATTGGTCCAGCCAAGTCGTCAAAATGCTACAGCGCCCTTATAGCTTTTTACACCCTTGCAAGAGATATTAGACTACCCTTCAAAGCAGAGAAAACTGTGTATCCAACTACAACCCTCACTTTCCTAGGACTAGAGTTAGATTCGATGAAGTTCGAAGTTAGGCTTCAGCAAGTACCTTTATATACAAACAAGAAACAGAAAAAAAATATTAATATCCATGAGAGCATAGAAGAAACATTAATTAATTAGATTACATCAACAAATTGAATTAAAATTAAATGCACTGATGTAGAAAAAAACATTTTCAAAATCTTTGGTATCGAAGTTCCTTTTTGGAGTTATCTTTCCTGTTGACCGGGACTCAAAAACTTTGGCAAGTCTCCGCATACGTCACCATACTATATTTAGTAATTACTGGCCACTGAACTGGACAGATATAAAAGAGGAAAACTAGAAACAAACACTATTTTTTCAATATTTATAAACACACAATGAGATAATGTATATTCTCCTTCACCACCAAGTCACGTGGGTATCACGTGAGAGATATGCAAGCCTACTCCAAGATCAGTTGTTGCGCGTTTATTCCCAGATCGAGCAGAAGTGTTTTTTCATTGAAAGTGATTATTAATTGATTTTGGATATCGTAGCAATGTCAGTGTTACAAAAACTTTCTGACGAGTTTGGAAAAAGTACCTTGGACACATCTAATGACGCCCCAGTTCATGTAGAGGCTGATGTTCATATTATTGGACCACAAGATAACTTTGAAAATTCTCCTACTAAAAACAGCCAAGCCGTTTAGGAGAATCTTCTTCTTCTCCTCCGGCAATAAAGCAGCCAAGCTGCTCATGAGAACCTACCAACCTACGAAGTTCGTTCGAAGAACGCCTCGTAGAAAAGCTGCTTTCAGCGCAATCTAAGCAGTTCCACGATATGCAAGAGTTTGTAATGGCTGAATTAAACGCTACTAATGAGCGTTTAGATGAACTCTTGTCTGATGAGATTGATGGGGAACCACCAGCACATATGAAGAAAGTGTCTGAAGATTCTTCTGGAGAAACTGCAAAACCGTCCGAAAATTCCATCTTGGAAAAGTTATCTAAACAATTTGACGGTAAGGATAAGTTTGGATTGCCGATCGGAGATGAGCTTGCAAAAGTTTTGAAAGCTATGTCACACCTCCTAACCTCATTAGCATAAATCGGAAGAATTCGGAGATAAACGTAATAAAATATGAACAAAATCCGTAAAAGTCCGAACAGCTTTCCTCGCGAGAATTCAGCGAGACCAACATGGTAGAGGTGAAAATCGAGAGAGAAATTCAACATGAAAAAAGAGGTAAAACTTTATGTTATCTCGATTTATAAGATTTGTAAATTGCAAAAAGTTGAAAAACAAACGTTTCTTTACCTGAAAAGTGAAAGTAGGTTTGCAGTTTCTTATTCTGTCAAATGCTATTGCACTTTAAAGTGTCAAAACAGCACCCCTCGATTTTGTAAACATGTTTCCACGTGGAAGGGAGTAGTTGTGTCGGTGAAGATTAACCCACATACATTGATTTAGTAAACAAAAACTCTCGTAAGTAGAATTTCATTTATTTTTTCGATTACCTGTAGCACAAAATGGCTAAATATTTTAGAAAGTCTGTCAAATGCTATTAATAGCATGTCTTAAATTGAAGAGAAAATGCAGGTGTGCTATAGTTCGTTCCTACTTGTAAGGTAGTCTACTATGCATGTATTTGCAGAGTAACGCGTATAAAAGTCATTATTCTTATTTATCAATACCCAGTGATATGTGAGAAGTATATGTGTTTTTTAAATACCAAGAGACTAAAATTTAATTCTGTCCGTACTCGTGTGCATGCACAAGAAGTTATTCTGAATTTCCTCTACATGCATATACATGTGTACCTGGATAAAGGATTAAAGGTTTGTTTACATTTGTTTGCAGTTTTAATAGTTTCAACTGTTCATATATCAATCATGCAGCTTTCACTAGAGCCTACTGATCTAAATATGATTGTTACTTTTCTAATTTAATATCATAGAATTTATGATCAGATGATGTCAATGCAGTTCTCACATACTTGTGTACATATATATATATCAGGTATTAAAATTCACATATGCAGTTGTCGCCCATGTGGCGCAGTGATTAGAGCGTCTGCTCTAGAGTTGGGAAGTTAGGAGTTAATCCTTACATCGCAAGTTCGAATCCCACTGTGGTACGTGGAGACCAGTCCTTCAGATGAGACCCTATAAACTGAGGCCCTGTGTCGCTGTAGGTGCCGGCACTAAAAAGATCTTCCCTGCTTAAAGGCCCTCAAGATCAGTGCCGAGCAGAGGACAAAATTTGCAGCTCTCCACCGGCAAGTGGTGGCATCTCCATATGAGTGAAAAATTCTTGAGAGGGATATTACATGTATAAACAACATACAATCAATCAATAACATAAGCAGTTTATGAAAACTTTTGAATATTTCTATGGGTACCACTATTTTCCCTTTTAAAATATTGCCCATCTTAAAGTAGGGTAGATATTGAAAATAGTATAAATATTATAAAACTAGAGGTATTGTGCATGAACAATGAGCTCTGACACTATATGATACCCACCGCTTTTCATATGAATATAATGACTGTCCATGTTTTGCTATGGGTATAACCCCAAATATGTGGCGGATCAAAAAGTAAAATATAAGATGCGCAATTGCAATATCATGAATATGTAATACAGATTCACTCAAATATCACTCAGCGGTATGAGAGGAATTAGCGGATAATAGATGGGTACACCAATTTAAGCATAACAGACAGACAGACGTACCGATTACTTAATATACCCTCTCGCTTTTCAAGCGGGGGTATTATAAATTACATGCATGCATTAATCTGTTTAATGAGAAGATATTGCTTAAGCTAATATACACTGATGTTTTGCATTTTTGTTTGTAAGAATACAATGTCATGTATTTAATTTACATAGTGTTTAATTTTTTCAATGCGTTAAATGAAAAGTAATTTTCTTTAATGTTTGTCTATTGCAGGTTAGAGTACATTTTGAACAGCCATCTCCAGGTATGACAAAAATAATACAATTGACCCTATAAGGTAATAAACAAACATTATTGAATTTAGAAAATGTATATAATGAAGCACAAATGTGAAATCATTCTAGGTCAAGGCTAGAAATAGTTTTCTTTCACTGTTCACTCAGGCTTTTCACTGGTCAGCTCATCATAATATCACTATCCCACTAGGCTACTAGATTTTAATAAAAAGAGACTGACCCAAAACCATAATAACAATAATAATCATGATAAATGAAATAGTTATATTTTGTTTATTTAATGTGATACACAGTTGGACAAATAATTAATCTTAACAAAACAGGATTCTGAAATGACAGAACTTTGAAACAAGCCTGTCAAGTTACTAGCCCAACTATACTTGTATTTTGTTATACATAGACCTGACCCAAAAGACAGATGCCCTCTACCATGTACAAGCCTAGATAAAAAATAAATCACTGACCCCATTCAAAATTTAAAAATGGTCTTTAATATGTAGATATGTATATGATACCTTACTGTATTAAATGCACAAAAATTATCATTTCTTTCATTAAAATTAAACAAAAAAAGCAAATATTAAAAAAAAAAAGAAAATCAATTCAATTATAATGTGCAATGAATGTTTCTTGCAGGATATACTCTGAAGACTGTGATGTACAAGTTCAAGGTTTGACTGTTGTGAGTATTGTATATGTACCCTGTAATTGTAAGGATAAATTTATAACATTTGATATGCAACATTATTATTTAATTATTATCATCTGATCATGCTGATTGGAATAAATAAAGAAAAAATATTAAGCATGCCCAATTACTCCAATATCTGCAAGTACATGTTTATCAATATATAAAAGAATCCTGTGTAAACTTAAGTATAGTTAGAGAGAGAGAGAGAGAGAGAGAGAGAGAGAATGATGTTGATGAAAGGGTCAATGTACCCGGTAATTGAAAATCATGCATCAGTAATTTTTGTTTTTGTTTAATTCTCAAAAGACTTAATCACATTCTGTTCTATTTTCAGCAGATACTTTAATAATAAAGAATGGGGGAAAAAATTTTCACATCATGCTGCATAACAGCTAGTACATGTAAGTTTAAAGGCAGAAGAAAATTCATTAAAAGAGAATTTATAAATAAAGTTGGTTGTCTGTTTCAGCAAACAATTTAATTGACTGAAAATTATTCTTATACATAAATCATATTATGCAAACTGTAAATGATTGCATTACATATTTTTCTGATTTGCGTGTAGTGCATTGATATTTGTCAGTATTTATCATTCAGTTTTTTTTTCACATAATTACAAATGCTTGTATTTTATTTGGAATAATTAAATTTATAGGATTGCATTAACTTATTAATCATATTTGTAGTTCAGCTGTAACAAAACAAATTATCTGATGAAAGCTTCAACCACGAGAATCTAGGAAAGGAATCATGTCAAGTCCAAAGAGAAGGTATGTTGATTACTGGTGATGATAATGTTATTGATGTAAATAGAGTATATACTTGCAGCAATAAAATAGAGAGAACAATAGTAATCTATAGACAAAAAATTAAATCGTAATTCTTTTCAAGAATAGGCAGGTCATGATTAGTCACTCTGAGATAGTTAAGAGCAGATTAAGATTTGTTTAGACCGTATAGGTATAGGGTAGTGTGGGTCCACAGTGGGGGATCAAAGTTCTAGTCTGGAATATTTAAGCCTTCTATTCAAGATTATCAGGGCCACGATACATCATATTTTTTGAATGAATACATCCTAGTACAGAATCCCAGAATTAAGGGTAATGGATGTGCCATAATTAGAAACAGAATGTTTATCTTGAAAGTCCTATGTAAATATTGGAAAATCATTTTGTTTATTTCTTGGTTTTAAGTTAAGTAGAGATTAAAATGATATAAGTTTTCTTTATTCAAATACCCATTTTATGGAGACTTTAGTTGATATCTATGTAAGGTAAAAAAAAGGTACAATTTTTAGAAAGAAAGCAATATTTTGGGGTTATAGAAAAGGGGCGTAACTCTCATCATGATAGTAAATGATGGATGTCAGAAAGTGTGAAAAATGTGTACTGTTGGAAAACAAGTGAATACAGTGCAGTCTGAATAAGTACAGTTAAACAACAGTATCTTAAAATCAAACAACTTTGACTACCTAGGGTATGTTGACGTTTATGACAGTATTACAAATTGGATGAATGATTTGCAAACACTTCGAATTGCATATGATTTACTTTTGTTAATGGTTAATTTGCTCATTTTTCGCATATCTCTTTCTCATGTAGATTATTAATGAACAATGATAGATTGAATTAGCAACTGTAAATGGCATACATGTATATGAATTTTATATACTCTGTTTAGAGTTAAACTTTGGTACATGTATACATGTATATCTTTGACACTGAGTGTTATCTTGAACACACTGAGATATCAAAGTCATTTTAAAGTCCCTTGAACGACATTTTTTTCTATATATCTTACCCTGAATCTCTTGGATATCTCAGTTTTTTTCAGCAGTCTCATAAGCATTTCAAGAATATAGATAACAAGTGTAACTTCATGTTATTGATTCAATTAATTTATGATGAATTATAAAAATATTAATATCAATCATACACTTTTATGTTAAAGCATTATCATTTTATATTTTTCAGGCCATATAACAAATGGTTGCTGAATTCATAAAGACTAGCTGGGATGATACTGTACTTTTCCTAAACATCAATTGAGGATCCCTTTCTCAGAAAAAAAAAATTGCATATTAAAAGACTCTATAGTTTATTGTTTATTTGTACATTGTTTAACATTCTTCTTGAGAATTTTTCACTCAGTTAGGGATGCCAAAATTTGTTAAATCACAGTATAGAAAATGTTTGCATAAAAGGGAGGTAATAGCTACATGTAGCTCTCTCTGGTATTGCATGCTTAAAGTATATGAATTACATATTTTAATTACAGTATTTTAAACCAGATCAGAAAAGAAAGAAACACTTGAATATTTTTACTATTAATTTTATTATAAGGTTGATTATCTTTAAAAAATGGAACTTTAATTTTTTTTTGAGTAGGAAGAAAAAAATATTTAGAATGTACATGTGCACTTAATTTTGTTTATTAAAAAATAGTCAAAATTTGGAGATCTTGTGAAGGGTATCTAAATGTTGATTTATAAATTTTACTTCATTTTTAAACACAATAGTCTTTATTATAACATATGCCTGTAATATACAACTTATTTGTTGTTGGAACATTCCATTGCCTGTCTACACGTAGTGCTTAGTATGTATTTCTTGTAAATACAAACATGATTGCAATATGCCGTTTTTTGCTTTGTCTTTTTTTTTCAATATGAGCCATGATATATAAATGGTGTGCATATCCATTTAAATTATTTTTGTTGAATTCAGTTAACAGAAAAAAATTAATAACTGAATATAATTATATAGATAGATACCTTCCAGAAATATTTACACGTACGAGTAGCTGCAGATATGTAGCTTATGTGAAATCAGGTATACTTGAAAATCAGTTTACCTGTATTTATTAAACAGAATATACCTATGCAGTATTTCATACTGAAAATACACTGTGTGTTAATGTTTTACTTATTCAACATAAAAATTGACCAGAAGTGATCTTGAAGAAGTACAACATATATCTCAATATATTTTCAACCAATTTTATCACAATTTAAATGTATATAAATTGATAAAAGAAACTGACTATACCATTAAAAATGCTGAGTTGTCTTTCCTTGTTTAAAGAAAATGTCTGATGCAATGAATGCTCCCTTGGGTTCATGACCCTGAATATTAATAAGGTTGGGAGGTGTGTATGTTTTCTGGAGACAAAACTAAAGCAAATAAAGAGAAGAAACGAGAAGAAAATTATGAAAAATTCAAACTTCCTCAAAATTGTGAAATGTTGGTGGTACCGAAAGTCAATAAGGAAATATGGCGATCATTGCCGGCATCTGCAAGGAATTCGGATCTTGACATATAAAAGCCGCAAAAACTTATTGCACATGCCATAGTTGCGATAATTCGAGTCATCAACAATCTCATTAAAACGGACCCTCATGGAGATAATGCTGGAACAAAATGTATCAATCCAAAGGTATTTCAGAGAAAGCAATTCCGGTTCTTATGAACTCTTGGAGAGCGTCAACTAAAAAACAGTATGATTCGCATATGAAAAAGTGGCTAGAATTTCTAAATTGCAAATCTATCCATGTATCTGATACTTTTTCAATAACAGTTGTCTTGGATTTTCTTACCGAACTTTTTGATAAAGGATGGTCATATAATACGATAAATTCCGCTAGGAGTTTTCTAAGTTATTTATAACCATCTGTTAATGATGTGGCTATTGGTTCTGATCCGCTAATTAGACGTTTCATGAGAGGAGTCTAACGACCGTCCTAATTTACCGCGGTATACAGAGACTTGGGATGTGAACACGGTCTTATCGTTTATTCTTAGTATGGGGGAAAATGAAGTTTTATCAGTGTTTGATTTGACATTGAAGCTTGTCATGCTATTAGCGTTAGTAACAGGACAGTGAGCACAAACTTTGTCACTTTTAGATTTAGATAATATGCATGTTTATGATTGATTGATTGTATACTATTTAACGTCCCTCTCCAGAGTATTTCACTGATATGGAGACGTCGCCATTGCCGGTGAAGGGCTGCAAATTTAGGCCTATGCTCGGCACTCAGGGCCATTGAGCAGGGAGGGATCTTTATCGTGCCACACCTGCTGTGACACGGCGCCTCGGTTTATACGATCTCATCCGAAAGACCGCCCCATTTAGTCGCCTTTTACGACAAGCATGGGGGTACTGAGGACCTATTCTAACCCGGATACCCACGGGGTGCATGTTTATGAAGACAGAATGTTTATGAGGATAGAATTGTGTTTTGTGTAAATACTCTTGTAAAACAATCTAGGCCATCTTATCATATAAAACCAATTACAGTGTTAGCTTTTCCGGATAAGATGCTTTGTGTTGTGTCATGTATTAAAGTGTATATAACAAAGACGGAAAAATATAGAGGTAATGGATATAGAAAACTTCTTTTGACAACCCAAAAGCCGTTTCGAGAGGCATCGAAGGACAGTATTTCTCGCTGGATAAGAACTCTGTTATCTAAATCTAGCATTGATACCAGCAAGTTTCCTGGACATAGCACTCGCGCTGCTGCAAGCGCCGCCGCACGTTCTTCAGGGATTTCAGTTGACAATATCTTATCACATGTTGGATGGTCTAATGAGAATACATTTGCAAAATCTTATGACAAAACTGTTTTACATAATGATAAAAATTTTCAGTCTGGAATATTGTCTTCAACATGTAGCTTAGATGATATGAATATTCAATAAATTTTTGACTTTTATAGGAATTCTTCTACTTTGTATAATTTCTATTTTCAATATGTGAATATTTGCTTTAAACATCTCACGTGACTTGATGGTGAAGGAGAATTAGAAAATCAAAGGAGACCTACCTGTAAGGTGAACTTTACTTAAAATTTTCCGAAACACCAAGGAACTTTGGGTATTATGTGCCCACCCTTGATCTCCTTCCCATGGGAACTAGGGTGATAAATTTATAATAATAGATAAAAATGTAGCATCTGTAGAATTGCTTATTATCAAGAATATTCACATATTGAGTTAAATACTGATCTGGGAGTAGGCTTGCATATCTCTCACGTAATACCCAACGTTCCTTGGTGTTTTGGAGGATTTTAAGTAAAGTTCACCTTACAGGTAAGTCTCCTTTAATTTGCTAATTAAACGCACAAACTAGTGTGCCGAAATTTCAACTATCAAAACATACTCAGTTGATAAGCCTGAAACAGCTGTGAATAACATAAACGTTTCTTGTCATACCCCGTACCTGTTGTGTAACATAATCCATTGGAGACGTCTGTTGTTCTTTTATTAAAAAAAAAGAGCTACATATCTTTTTTCCATCGGTCACTCCGCGATCATGCCATGTGTTCATTGTTTACAATCTGTCAAACGGTGCTAGGCCAAATCGTTCATGCATAAATTCAATAAAACCGGAAGTAAAAGTATTTTTTCTCTATATACGTCACAAATCACATGGTGTGGAGGACCCTTAATTGCAATATAACAGAAAAAATAAATTACTTGCACAGCAGATAAAATTTTATTTTGCCATTTTGCAAAAGTTAAACCGTCTATTAACAAGGAAATGTATATATATTTTATTATCAATATTAGTATATGAATTAAGTGCAAGTATATATATATATATATATATATATATATATATATATATATATATATATATATATATATATATATATATATATATATATATATATATATATATATATATATTAAAAAGAATGTTGTATTACGGTCAAATTCGTTTAGTACGAACATGGATATTGCGAATTCACCGATATAAGGAAATAATTTTGGATCCCCAGCTTTATAAATTTAATGAATTCTTATACGGTTATAACAAATTACGGATATAACGAAGTTATTTC